AAATTTTGAAAATTTCATATTAAAAATATTTAAAATTTCCAGCTTCAGCCTTTTTCAGCTTCAGCCGCAATAATGAGCATTTGACTTACACCATGATCATTTTTCTTTACAACAAATTCACCAGGTAAACTATTTTTACTGGAACCTGTCTTAGGAGCCTTCATAATATCTCTAAAAAATTCAAGACGTATAAATTGGTTAATTACACAAATGATAAAGATACAATATTTAAACAAACCTTTGTGTCCCATCAGCATAAGTAATGTGACATAATTTAGTAGCAAAACTCATCGTATCACGATTAACTTTTTGTAATAGACCAGCACCCATACCAATAGTTAAGTTTTGTACAGAATAACCAGCTTCTTTGACAGCATTCAGAATGGTCTTCATACTTTCAAAGGTAACAGCGTCACCTTGAACAACAGAACAACCACGAAGAATTTTATAACCTTTTTTTATTTGTATAACTTCCAAATACTTTGTCAGCAGCCCTGAAAACCATGATAATATTTTTTTAAAAAAAATCAATAGTACTATTTAGTATATATAAATAAAATAAGATAATAAACCTACCTGAGCGCCATTAAAATTACTTCTACAGGATCACCACTATCAGGTCTAAGAACCATTACACCACCTTTTTCAAGTTTTTGAGCAGCGACCGATGGCAAAATATTATTCAGCGCATTGGCATAATCAAAGGAATCCAATACACATGCATAGATACCGGAACCGAAACGTCTGATTGTATGTAAAATAGCATCCTAAAGATTTAAAGTAAGTATTTATGATGAGAACATGCTTCTTTTCTTAAAAAATATGTATATATACAAGTCACTATCTTTATTAAATAAAACTTCACTATATTTGAGTACTATGTAAGTAAATTCGCTATAATAAGCAACCATATCGAGAGTTCACTGTGACAAGAGTGATTTGTATATATAATAAACATACCTTTTCAGATTTATGCGCAGTCATAACTGAATGCTCTGTGGCTGGAATGGCATTTCCAACAGGTTTTTTATTATTGAGTTTATACTGAACGTAAAAACTAGCACTCATCGTAGCAGATTTGGTGAAATTGACCTTTTTAAAAAATTATAACGTAAATACTCATTATTGCGGCTGAAGCTGAAAAAGGCTGAAGCTGGAAATTTTAAATATTTTTAATATGAAATTTTCAAAATTT